TATAGGTGCATGCATATGCAATAAACAGCTGAAGCAATTCACCTGGAACTTGGGGGTCGAGGCTCAGGGAAAATTAGTTAGCAGTGAACAGCTTCTTACACCGTGGACTGCTATCCCATTGAAGTCTCTTATCTTAACTGAATGTGGAAAACTTGGCATCAGTAAAAGGTTTCCGAATGTCCAATGACCAAAGGTTAATTCAAAGGCAAATGTGTGAGTAATGTGTTTCTGGCAGTGCTAGCACAGATATATATATATATATATATATCCTTGGCTTTGAGCACAGAATACAGGCACTTTGCACGAGACAGGCCATCACTTTACATCATGGCAGTAAATGGTGCCTAAAACACTTTGGCTTCAATTTAAGACTATTATATTTTGTGAACTGCAGTATTTTTTTTAACTGTACATAGAAATTGATCAGCTCTTACAGAAACACAATGGTTTATTTATAGAAAATAAAGACAATATTTTCTTATTATTCTCCAGCACATATCAAGGAGGATATCTTTGTATCTTTGGATTGTATTTCACAAGAATATTTGATTTTTTTGTTTTTGTTTTTCAAGACAGAGTTTCTCTATATTGTTTTGGAGGCTGTCCCAGAACTCACTCTGTAGACCAGACTGGCCTCGAACTCACAGAGATCTGCCTGCCTCTGCATCCTGAGTGTTGGGATTAAAGGCATGTGCCACCAACACCCACCTAGGAATATTTGATTTTAAAAGTTGTTTTTTGTTTTGCTTCTTAAAGAGGCCATGGATTTGAGGTAGAGTTTGGAAGAAGGAAAGGGAGGGGAGAAATGTCTTAAATTAAATTAGAATCTCAAACAGTTTTTATTAATTTATTTTTATTTTATGAGTATCAATTGGTGTTTTGCCTGCATATAGGCCTATGTGAGGGTGTCAGATCTTCTGGAACTGGAGTTACAGACAGTTGTAAGCTGCCATATGGGTGCTGGGAATTGAACAGGGATCCTCTGGAAGAATAGACACTGCTCTTAACTGCTGAGTCATTTCTTCAGGCTCTAGAATCTCAAAAAAATTTTAAAGGGAGGAAAAGAGTGAATAACACAAAAAAGAAAAGTTGCTGTTTGAGTTGCTGACTTGTATTTCATAAAAAAGTTCCATGAATTTTGGTTTGAGATAATTTCTGAAATAGTCCTAAAACACATTCTGCCATTTTACAAAATTTGCCTTTAGGCAAGGCAGCATTGATGATGTTAAAAATCAAAATATCAATCAACTTTGAAAAATGCTAGAGATGCTGTATATGTGGCAGTATCAAATATTTAGTGAAAATTTAATTCTTTATGTAAAAGTGAATAAGCATATCCTCAATGTATAAATCTACTTTCATCTTTAACAAATGTTCAAATTGTCTGCATACCAAAGAACTATTTTAAAATAAATTTCAAGTTGGGGGTAGGTGATGGTAGCGCCCACCTTTAATCCCAGCACTCAGGAGGCAGAGGCAGGTGGATCTCTGAGCTCCAGTCCAGCCTGGTCTACAGAGGGAGTCAGGAGAAACTCTGACTCAAAACATGTTTCTTTAATCCTTTTGGACTTACTAATTCCCACCAGAACATCCCCTTAAGCTCTGTTTATAACAAATTCCTTCACATCTCTTCCCTAAATGAGTTCCAAAAGTCTAAGAACCAGTTGGTCATTGTCCCCGAAACAGCCCTGCTCTTGCTATCAGTTTCTTTATTAGTTACTTTTCTTTTCATTATGCAACAATAGTTGATAAAATCAGTTTAAGGAAGGAGAGGTTTATAATGATTTATCATCTGATAGAACATATTCCTCCATGGTTGGAGAGGTATGGTGACAGAAGCCCAAGGCTGGCTGGTCACACTGCAGCTGCAGTCAGGAGACTGAGAGGAAAAAGGGAGTGATGCTGGGACAGAAAACCCCACCCCTAGTAACCTAGCTCTGAAAGGCTCTGCCACGTCCCAGGCAGCGCCACCATCTGGGGACTAAGAATTCATGCATATGTATTTATGAAGTATTCAAACACTTTTCCCTTCTGTTTGTTTCTCTTTTCTTTTGGGGATTCCTATTAGACATAGAGATCACCAGGACTACGTTTATTAACCATATTTTTTTCTTCTTTTGTTCTTCAGATTGGAAGGAGTCTCAGTCTGTTTGGGCTGCTATACTACTAAAAAAAAGTCCTTCGACTATAGCTTATAAGCAATAGAATTTTGTTTTTTATAATTCTGTAGGCTGGAAGCCCAAGATTAAATCACAAGCAGATGTGGTTTGGAACTTTCTTTTTGATGGATGGCACCTCTGTGTGTCTTTACAGTGTGGAAGGGTAGGGTTCCCTTAGTTTTCTAATGTAGACAGATTCCACATGACCAAAGTATCTCACATATGACATACCATTTAATACTCCCTCCCATCCTGGGGTTAGATTTCAACACATGAATGGGACTATTGACTTTTCTTATGCAATCCCTAGCCTGACTGTGGAATATTTGATCTCAGATAACATAGTTTTCAGTTACAGAATTTCCATTTGGCTGTTGCTTTATACTTTCTATTGTGAGTCAAAATTTGTCCCTGGAGTACTGTATTATGTGAAGCCCTCAAATGATTTTAGAATAGCTATGGGTGAAGTTCCTTTCACTATGACAAAACACCTGAGGTCACAAATGTTGGAGGGAAGATTTGTGTTGGCTCATAGTTTTGGAGATTTCATTCCATGGAGCTGCCTTGCTGCTGGCCTTGAATCAATATGGAGAATTATAGTAGGAACACATATCAGAACTGTCCTGTTCACCTTATAGATGGCTGGGAGAAGAGAGAGGATGGGGTGTGGGTCCCAATACCTTCTCAAAGGCATGTTTCCAGCCACTTAACTTGCTCCCACTAGACTTTACCTCTCAAAGGCTGAACAACCCTTCGCCAACAACAGGCTAGTGACCTGGCCTTTAGAACTGTCTTTGTGGATCGTGAAACTCTAGACCTCAGCAGGCTTATTTTATGTCTCTGTTTGTCAATTTGAGCATCTGGGTCACTTGGGTAAGAAGGCTTTCTTAGCTCACAGCTATACTTATTCATCCATCTGGCTGCTTTCGTGTTGCTCAATGAGAGAACTTCATGGTTGTTAAAGAGATCATATGACTGGCAAGCTTCAAATATTTGCTATCTAGAAAAACTCTGTCAACCTTACCTACAAAGAATGCCCTACAACTGGGTGCATAATTCTTCTGCCACTTGGTTTTTTGCCAAATAGATTACTGTAGATAAAAGGAAGTCAGTTTCTGTTTACCAAGGTAATGGGAAAATAGCTCAAAAGGCATTCACAAATCTCTGAGGCTAGTGAGGACCTTGGCAGCAAAGTTTCCTCAGCCTTCACTGCTGTGCACTCTTTAGGGAATTTGCAGTCACTCAAGTGGGCTAAGATGCACGTTTACCATCGCTCTGTAGGACTCCTGTGGTCAACTCTAGCAGTGTCCATGTGGTTTTGACTCTGCATGTGCTCAGAGTGGAAGACCTATGGGGGCATGACTTTCTCTTCCTAAATTATAAAGAATGTTCTAGACAGTATCAAGACCTAGGCAGGCTTGTTGCAGAGGCAGGACCCTGCAGTTCCTACTAAAGCAGTGCATAATGGAGCCAGGAGAGTGTGGCTACTTCCAACTGTACAGTGACTAGTGTGCATTGCCAGCAGGAGAGAGCTGCAGGCATGGTACTCCAACTTGTGAAAGCTGCTGAATGGTTTGACCTAAGCAAAGTCAAGAGTGTGGGGCCACCCAAGGTTCTTGGAACCCTACAATGTGTCCAAGAGGCAGAGGCAGAGGAAATTGTTCTCCAGCGTGCACATTCACTACTGTTTGGGCACTTTATTTGAGTCAGTTACTTCTTTCTTCTTTCATTGTTCTCCCTTTGGGGATGAAGTTATTCCTGTGCCTGTCCCAGCACTGTGTTTGGAAGCATATAACTTGTTAGTTCACAGGCTCCTAGCTTGAAAGGATTTGCCTTAGCAGAAATCATGCCTGGAATCTCAGAATCTATCCAGATGAAACTCTGGACTTTGGACTTTGAATTAGTGCTGAACTGAGTTAAAGTTTCAAGGCTACTGAGGTCCATGCAGTGAAGACCCGCCCACACATACTGTCATGTGTTGCCTGGGACCTTCAGAGCAGATGTAGGGTGGGGAGACAGCAGGGAACAGACATGTCTAGCGGTAATTTAGCAATTTCCACTATACATACTTCCTTTGGTCCTCAAATAGCTTACTTGCTTCTCCTCAGGCCTGCTGCAGCTTGAAATGTGTGTTAGCACTCAGCGGTCTACTCTCCATAGGGGGAATCCACCTTCAGAGTAATTTGGTCAGCATTTGGTCCAATTTCTGAGTAGCAGACAGCATAAGAGCAAAGTTCCAGGTGTTGTTGTGTTGTTGTTTGTTTTATGAGACAAAGGCTTGCTGTGTAACCCAGACTGGCCTCAAGTCCATTATATTTACTCTCCTATCAAGTTCTGCAGTTACAGTTGCTCACGTCATGCCTGGCTCCCTGGTTTTGATGTAACACATATATTCCTGTGGTTTGGGTTGAGCTGTGCTTTTGAACTCATTCTGCTCATTCTGGTAATTAGCATAAGAGAGAAGGCTAGAGGTGGGGCATCTGAGCCCTAGTGGGCAGATCCTTTTTAAAAATTGTCTTTTATGTTTGTTTTATTTTTTCCAGACACAGAGTTTCTTTGTATTGCTTTGGAGCCTGTCCTGGAGCTCATTCTGTAGACCAGGCTGGCTTCAAACTCACAGAGATTCATCCACCTCTGCCTCCTGAGTGCTGGAATTAAAGGTATGTACCACCAACACCCAACCATCTTTTATGTTTTGAGATTATAATATAATTACATCATTTCTCCCTTCCTACTACCTACTACTATATACATATAGGTATAAATATGTAGATATATATTTCTAAATGCATAAATACAACCTTCTTGGTCTGTATATATTACTTGTCTGTTTGTTTCCAGGCTGATCATCTGGTTATTGGATAACCAACTGGCGTGCTCTTCCGTGGGGAAGACTATTTCTCCCAGTGGGTGGACCTTCATGACAAGTTTCCTCTGGAAGGGGAATGAGGTAAAATTAAGGATGTTTGGATAAAAGCCAAGTTTATCAGACTGAACAAAGATGGCTGAGGTTAGAGGCAGATCACCATTTGTTTTGGGACCAGGCTTGGGTTGTAGCACATCACAAAGCAGGTGAGGCATGAAGATTAACTACAGACTCTGCCACTCTGGGCTTTATCTCCATGTGATCATTGCTGTCCATCACTTGACACTTGGAGGCTGGATGGCAGCAGCTGAGTGTGGTTTGGTTGGCAGAGCCTGACAAGACTGGGCTATAATTGATAAGAAAACAGGTTCAGAACATGCGTTTTTGTGATATACTACTAGGTGACACACTTCTCAACACTTTAGAACAGTGCCCTTCTACCCCTAACTCTGTTAAATTAAGTGATATTGTTTTATTTTATAATGCAGATAACTAAAGGCCAACTAAGTTAGATGACTAACTCAGGTTGATAAGTGACAGAAGGAGTTTGAATCCAAAGTTCAAAAACTGCTTAATTTTATATCTTAAGATCCTCCCATAAGGGCAGTCAATAAAAACCACCACCAAAAAAAGGGGGGACATTCACCATGTATCTTATAATGTAGATACCTACCCATGCACAGATCTACATCTGTCTAGGAACTCTAATTACAACATAAATTTCATTCACTTCAATTCGAAGAGTCTCCAGGCCATTTAATTCAAAATAACTGAAGTTTCTGTGTATGTATGTTGCATGCATGAGAACATACCCATGTACACATGCTAGGGATTGTTGGGGGCCTTTGACATGCCAGCAAAGCATTCTGTCACAGAGCTACATCCTTAGCCAAGAGGAAGTCTGGACTGAAGCATAAAGCTGATATCAGATTCTATGGCAGTGAAGTCTCTGTGCAGTTTCCGCACACATTAACTAGTCCAAAGAGCAGCTGTCAACTTGACCACATCTCTGAAAACTTTCAATCAAATCTCTCCGTGTCACATTGATCCCTCTCATATGTGCTCACAAGGAACTTTCTGGGTCATTGTTTAATATATCTGAGTCATTGTTTAATATATCACCAATTCCCAGAACTTTTCAGTTCTTGTCAGTTTTTCTGTAGAAAGTAGGATTAAAAAGTAGGATTAAAAAGGCTAACATATTTCTGGGCTAGGTGTGGTCATGAATCCTGCTATAATCCTAGCAAGTGGGAGGTGAAGGCAGGGGTTGAAATAAGAAGCCAGCTTGGGCTCTATAGTGGTAGTGGAATCCTGTTTCAAAAATCATGAATAAATAATTTTAAATTCCATGGTTGTTGGTGGCGACATTAAATAAGCATCTGGCCATAAGTTCTCTGGGTTAGAAACCCATTCCTTGGTTAACGAAATAAGTTTTTGACTCTTTCAGTGTTGCTCTAGTTCAGACCCAAGAATGGCGATCTCAAGTGTTCCATGGAGGGGACTGAAGAAAATAAATTGAGGGGAAAAAAAGAGATTTAATGTCTACCAAGTCAGTGAGAAGAGAAATTAGTTTGACTGAAATACAGATATAAATACAAAGGTGCTTAAGTCAATAGACATGCCTGTGCCACAGAAATACTGATTGATGTGCACATTCCATTCACTTTGACCTAGACCTTTAAAGCAAGTTACTGATTCTCAGCCTCAGCTGCACTTTATTCTGTGTGTGTGTGTGTGTGTGTGTGTGTGTGTGTGTGTATACATCTGTATGTGCACGTGATCGTGGGCGTATGTGTGTGAAGTGTATGTGCGCATATGTATGTAGGTATGCTTGCCTGTGACAACAGATACCAGAAGGGGGTGTAAGGAATCCCCTCTTATTGCTCTCCACATTATTCCTCCCAGGCAGGGTCTCTCACTGAACCTGGGACCTGTGTTTTTTAGCTGAAGTGGCAGCAAGCAAGCTCCAGCAATCCTATCTCTACCTTCTTAGTGTTGGGATTGTATGTGTACGTAGGACCACTCCCTTGCCTGTTTGTTACCTGAGTCTTGGGATCCGTACTCCAGTAGCCATGCTTGAGCGTCGCTTCATCTGCCGATCTCTCTCCAGCCTGTAATTTGCTCTGTAGCTGACATGCAAACTCTTCCCATGTATCTCAAAGTCTTCTCTATGTTGTGTAATTGCAAAATGTGGTTCTCCTATTGTGCTGTGTAACATCGGAACTACCTCCCCACTAGCTACTATTCCACTGTGAGCTTTCCCTCTGTAGCCTCTAGTGACCTCTGTTATCTAACTTCAGTTTTCATGAGTGAGTGAGACTGGAGTATTTGTGTATGTCCTTGGTACATCTTAGTGACATTTACTCTGATTTTCCTGCTCTACTAGGAACTGTTTGCACCAGGAGTTTATTCTTCCCTTATCCTCTGAGTGAAGACACTTACCTTCCTGGGTCTTTCAGTAGGCACTGAGGTGATGGATGGACAAATGAGCAAGGTGGGGGTTGGAGGTGAGGGAATGGATCGTTTGGTGCCGAGCTTTCTAGTTGGAGGAACACATGCTGGCAGCTGTCTTGTTAGCTGTATACTCTGCCCACATTTTAACTGTCTGCCCCTGTCCCCGGTGTGGTGTGGAGTCAGCCTCTCTTCTCCCCAATTCAGATCAGAAGTACTGGAGCTGCTGAGGGTGTCTCTGTACTTTGGATGTCTCTATTACGTGTTCTTTATAGTTTCAATAACTTATCACTTTAGAATTTAGGAAATTTGTTAATATAACCCAGCCCCCACAGTAGTGGAGAAGATGTATCCAAATTGTAAATATTTCACCATGAATTTAGGTTAATGTTTCCAGGAACAGCTTTGAACCAATAGTTTGTAGACACATTCCTCAGCTTCTTACTCAGGCCTACTCTGATGGTTTTTTTTTTTTTTTGATTGTCTTGGCAAGATTACATATTAGGATTGTTTAAACGTATCTGTATTTCTCTTTTTTATGCTAGTGATTTCACTCTAGATGCAGTTCCTTGGCTTGCGGTTCTGTCTTTTCCCATGTTTGACAGAGGGACCCATTTCCACTCTCTAATTTAGATTTTGTCTCCTGACCTTGACCATTGGAACCAGAGCAAATGTTTTCTGACAGTGTGAATCTGTGAACACAGTGTTGACAATGTAAGGGCAGCGTCTAGACCTAGTGCTGACTGTTTAGAAGATCCTATCTCCTGTTTGGCAAATTCAACCAAAACCTGCTTCCCAGCATTCACTGTGTTCTAAACAGACAGTTCATATTACATCACCTATTACTGTCTGCTTCACAAGCAAACAGCGGCACCACTGTTTGAAAGTGAATTATGAAGAAACCGCCATTTCACAAGTCAAGGCTTCTGATTTCTAGACAAAAGGGCAGAGGAGTGTGTAAGATATGGCACAGAAGTGGATGATATGGAAAAAATTCAACCCTCTTAGTCTCCAGGGAACGTGGGAACAGCATACTAGGAAGGCCTAGAGCTTTGCCTTGTTCTTTCAAAGGCTAATTAATTCTTTCAAGTTTTTTCCTGAATTTTTGAGACAAGATTTCCATGATACAGCTCAGACTAGCTTGAACTAGCTATGTAGTCCAGGTCTGGATAAAAATCTTAATTCCACTGCCCCAGTCTCTTGAGTGCTGTATAATCACCATGTCTGGGTCCCTCTCTCCTTCCCTCCCTCCCTCCCTCCCTCCCTCCCTCCCTCCCTCCCTCCCTCCCTCCCTCCCTCCCTCCCTCCCTTTCTTTTCTATAGATGTCCATTGAGCATGTCCCACCCGCAGATGCTATTGTAGGTTGTGGGGACACACAGATACAGCTTCCTTATGGGGTTTGAAGTGTAGCAAGGAAGATGAGAAATACAAAGAAGAAGCAACTTCACAGGACACCAGAGGGCAATAAGTATCACTGAAAAGAGGGAGAGCCAGAAGAAGACCAGGAGAGTGAGGCTGGGTGTAGGATATCACATCACTTGCTGAACTGAGTGACTATATAGGTTGCTTTCCTTGAGTAGTGATTTGGGCAAGGACTTGAGGAGGTAAAGGATCCATCCAGGTGGCTTTCTGAGGAAAGAACATTACAAAACTAGCCGTGACTTTCCAACAGTGGGAGAACCTCTGGAGTGGTCAGAAATTAGCAAGATGGGAGTGACTGGTGGGGGGGGCAAGGGATGGTGACAAGGAAACAACCAAAAGCTGAACAAGGCTCTGTGTGTTCTGCCTTAGTCCTCGTCTCCCTTGTTGCTGCCCTCCCCAACTTCTAAAAGCCTACCTCTGGAACTTATGGTCCTATTGCCATGAACATTGTTTATTGTTATCAGTCCCAGTTAGTTACTTATCTTGTTGCTGTGCAAAGATTCCCAAGGAAAACAACTTAAGAGAGGGTTATTTGGGCTCAAAGGATACATTCCATCACTAGGTAAGGCTTGCAGCAGGAGCTTCCAGCAACTGCTCACATTTTATCCATAGTAGGAAGCAGGAAGCAGGAGCTGTGAATTTTGGTGCTCATCTCACTTTGCTTTTCAATTCTGTTCTGAGCCTTGCCTATGGAATACTTAGGGTGGGTCATCTCACCTGAGTTGGTCTAATCTGGAAACTCCATCACAGGTACATTTATTGGTTTGTCTCCATGGTCATTCTTAACCCCATGAAGTTGACAATCAAGATTAATTTTACTCAGCCCAAACTTAAAACAGTCTCACCATATTAATTTAATGAAATCCAAGCTTTCTACCTTTAATGATGCCTTCCTATTAATTATATACACACATATACATGTGTATGGTCTGGCTGTAGGCAAGTCTGCAGGGCATTTTCTTAATCAGTAATTGATGGGAGATGGCCCAGCCCATTGTGGGTGGTACTGTCCCTGGACTGGTGGTCTTGGGTTCTATAAGAAAGCAGGTTGAACAAGCCAGTAGGCAATACTCCATGGCCTCTGCGCCAGTTCCTGGCTTTAGGTTCCTGCTCTGCTTGAGTTCCTGTCCTGACTTCCTTTGATGGTGGACTGTGGTGTAGAAGTGTAAGCTCAACCAACCCTTTCTTCCCCGAGTTGTTTTGGTCACAG